GCCACTCGGGTTCAAAATTTTCTTGAGCTCTTGATAATTTGGCTTTTCGTCATATGCTAAACTATAAGCACATTCCAAGAACTGGGCTATTTCATCTGTGAAGTATTAAATATTTTACATTTCATTCATAATTTGCAAGAATTGTCAAGATTCCACAAATCTCAACATCTTTCTCTCATATACATTCTTACCCCCCCCACACACATCCGGAGGAAATTAGAAATGAAAAATTCAATGAAAAGAACTTTTTAAATGATACTCAAAAGTGACAGAAGTACACTGACCTATGGATTTAATAAGATGGGACAAACTGGTAATATTTTTACATATCTTTGTTGATACAATTATAGTGCATTAATCCTATGGGAGAAACAAATTTGAACAATTAGTGATTTTGATTTATGAGGTGCTACTAAGTACCACATAAATAATATAATAGACTATATACGTGCTTCATACTTTATGTTGAACTTTTAAAAATTCAGTTAAAATCAAGTGCTACTTATTACAAATCTCCTTAAAGGAAAAAAAATCATTGCAAATTTTAATTAAGACTTTGATTTGGGCATTATAACAGTACATGTAGAAATGACCTTAAATACCATATTGTTAGCTATGATTAATTTTAGAATATATGAAACCTCCCTCAACTCCTCCATACCCAGCTAGCCTGGTATATTCACAGCAGTCTTCTTGATTTTAGATCAGTAGAATAAGGAACTGCCACCTTTTATTTTTTCTCTAATGTAAAGAAATGTTTCCTAGAGCAACATATAGCCTTACTTCTCCAAAAAAAAAGGTACATACAAGTAGTAACCAAAAGTTAGAAACATACGTAAATTAAAATGTTCCTATTTTGCATTTTTGTTTCAAATAGAGGTATGATTTAATATTGGGATAGAAGTACCAAAAATACTACATACATTTTAAAAACTGGCATGTTTCATTTGCTCAAAGATATATTTAGGTATGCCTTTCCACTTCCAATCTCAGTACTAACCCAAACACAGGAACTTCTTATTCTCTCACCTAGTTGTTTATGTCCCATGCTGGGGAAATCTGGGAAGCTTCACAAGTCAGCAAAAGTGACTTCCTAATCTTTCACTTCCCCTCTAGGCCCACCTCCATTCAAGAGAATTGCAGAGGCACTCCCTACAGGGAAAAATTCCAAAAGGAATAGTAATCACTCCTTTCCTCTATTAAAGCTAGAGGGGCCATTTTACAACATAGAGTTGAGAGGTTATGTTCTAGTAACATGAAGCTAATGTGGTTAGCTTGTCTCTGGGTTTTCTCCTCCTGGGCCACTATAGCAATCGTGCAACCTACTATTTTCCTCTCTTCTGAGCTACATCAAATTTTGTCATCTAGCATTCAGTCAACCACACCTCTGTTAACTAACAAGTGCTGCTGTTTTATCGCCAAATTCATAACATGTTTTGTGAAGCCCCTTGGAGAAGTGTCCAAATTCTAAAGGGATGACCAAAATGATAAAAAGAAAAAAATGACATTCACCACTATTTTAATATAAATATTGTTGTTTTGTCTTTGAAGATTGGTAAGCCAAGTTATGTATACATTATAATTCCATTAACCAGAACGTCCCAGATGGAGACGAGAACCGAGAGTGTGCTGGGAACAAATCGCTGTTACAAGACAATAGAAAACTCGTGGCAGTCCAACTGACAGCAGCTGGGCCACAAAGCCTTAATGGGACTAGGGCTTGGAAAAATGAGGGACCAGAAGGTAGGAGAGGAAAAGAAAAAGATCCTCTGTTACAAATTTATCATACAAACCTGAATCTGATACTATTATGTTAGCCTTTCAAGATCCGGCTTTATTGTATTAACTACATTTTTACATTTACTAGCATCTTTCCAGAGCTACGAAATAGAATGCTTTGAGTGGGATAAAATTACGACATTCTTAAATCATCTGCTTTTTAAGCTAGTGAAATATTATTATCATTACTATCATTTTAAGAGATAGAAACTTTTTTTTTCTTTTAGAGACAGAGTCTACTCTATTGCCCAGGCTGGAGTACAATGGTGCCATCATAGCTCACTGCAACCTCACACTTCTGGGCTCAAGTGCCTCATCCTCCCAAATAGCTGGGACTGAGGCACATGCCACCACTCCTTGCTAGTTTTTCTAATTTTTATAGAGATGGGGTCTCGTTCTTGCTCAGGCTAGTCTCAAACTCCTGGCTGCAAGCAATCCTCCCACCTTGTCCTCTTGAAGTGGAGTGTTAATCCCACTCCTCTTGAGATTATAGGCACGAGCCAATGTGGTCAGCCTTAAAACTTTTAAAACTATTATTGAATTGATGTGGACATGTACGCTGCAAATTTCTTGGTTATTTTATTTCATAAAATGTTTTAGTAATAAACCTTTTGTAAATTAGTTTCTTTAATTTTCATGGTGAGCTTTCCCTCCTTATAACCTCCTAACTTAAGAAATTGTCACTTAAAGTTTCAACATTTTGTGCTTTTGAAACAGAAATATGCATTTTATAAATAACAGTACAGATTCAAATAAATGATTTGTACTGAGAAAGAAAAACTGGGTGTCTCTCTCATCCAGACATAAACCTTAACTCATCTCTAACTGCAGAAGAATCACACAATACACACAGGCCCCAAATAATTTATCTTGTACAATCCAGGGAATCAGGGTTTCTTTCCTAATCCTCAGTTGAATGGTTATCTTTTCTATAGAAGTGACAAGAAAGGTAAGAGATATATAATTAAAACAATTAACGACATCTCCTTCTCTTTCTGTCCCATTGAGTAAAACATTAACTGTCTGACTTGGTAAAAGTGCTGATAAGAATATTAGCCCAAAAGAAATAGTGTCATTTTGGCCAATTTATTTAATGCAGTTATAAAAATAAAACTTTCATTTTCCAACCCATCTCTCTAAATGAGAATCTTCCTTGTCTGGCAGCCTTCATCCTAAGATAGGAACTACAGAAAGGGCAAAGATTTACATGAGGACAGACTTATGGAACTCCTGAAATCCAGGGGTTCACTCCTCTTTCCTTTCCTATGCAAATGAAAGTTCTGGTTTCTAGTTAAAGAAGAGCGGTTTGTCAATATAAATTTAAGATGATTTAATTCTACATGTACTTTTAAACTCTCAGATAAAAACTGATGCTTTTTGACCTCAGCCAGACTTTCAGAAGTCAGCTAAAAACTAACTTTGATACTACCCAAGGTAAACAGAAAACAAGATTCACTCTGCTTATTTGTGTCTGAGCAAAAGCAAGCCTGATGGCAGGAGCTTACCTTTTATCTTATAAGAACTCTAATTCAATTGTTAAATTAGTGCCGAATAATGTATCAGGGCATACATATATATACAAATGACAGGAAATTGGATAATTACTATTGACTTACTATTTAATATTGATAACACTGTGAACTAAAGTCTTCAAAAAGGTTCTACACTAACTTGAAAGGGAAAACCATTTATGAAATACAACTCCGAATCCCCAAATCATAGACCCTTGCTAATCAAAAAAATTTGCTAGCAATTCAGTCACAGCATAACCCAGGTGTAAACAGTGTTCAAGTGTTTAATGTTTTGGTTTCTTAAATTACCAATTAAAAGTAGTCTTTCCTTAGGTCAACTTTATCTTCTTTCAACAATATATTAGGGGACAAAAACAAAGACTTAACTTAGAAACAACAGATACAATTAATTATTAAACTCGCTCAAGATTCTCAAATATTTATCGTTCAAAAAGTGCAATCAGCATAGCCTAGAATACCATCTAAATATTTTCTTATTGGGTTCTTGTATTCTAAAGTCAAAGATGATCTAAATATTCTCTTCTCTAGCAAGCTCTCTGCAACCCTGGTGAGTTTCCTTCTACCCTGAGGGGACTAGGAGTGCCTGGGTTAAGCAAAAGCTACAAAAGTGACAAAGTGTGGGTGACCTGTAAATCATAAAAGAAGGGAGAAGTTAGCATTGACTTACAGCAACTGCTTCCAGAAGGAGCCCAATTAAGCACTGACTCAGGGAGCTCATCCAACAGACTAAAACAGAAAAACACAATGAATTTGTTTTCAGTCCCATGATTCAATGTTTGATTAGAAAGCAAATCTAATTCTGTGTTGATAGGTCACCAAAATTATGACTTTCAATGCTTTTTTTACCTACCTATAATGAATAGGAAGGTTAGTAGCAGTTGGAGAGATCTCTTAATTCCTATTGACTATTTTTATATTATATATTTTAAGTGATTATATCAATCACCTAAAAACTAAAGTAGGGACAGAAAGGTGTGATACTTTTCCTCCCACCTCAGTGACAGGGGGCACAGGCAACACTCCTATACAAGACAGGTTAACAAGAGGAAAGCATAACAAATGTAACTGAAGCTTTATACAACTTTGGAGTCTTCAGAAATGAAGACTCAAAGACCCAGGGAAAAACATGTTATTATGTTCAGATTCCATGATGAATGGACAGCTGTGTAGAAATGTGATTTGACAGAGAGTAAGAAGACTAGCAGGGGTGGAGGGAGACCCAGGGAGGTCTCTCGGCTTCTTCCTGCGACACTCCCTCCTCTCAGGTAAGGAGCAGGACCCCTCGGGAATGAAGGTCCTCGAGGGAGAAGGAAGAGTGTGACCTTTTGGTGGGAAGAAGAGTTCTAGTTTCCATGACCTTCCTTGAGGAAGAGGAATTGTGGGTTTCTCTCTCACTATGGAAAAGAAGGAAGGGTGAGGGGTGGGAGAAGGGCAACAGGAGGGTAGGAGGTGGAGAGACTGCTTCTGAGGCTTTCTACTCTCTAGTTCAAAGCACTCAGTCTACCAGCACTAAACAATGTAGAAATTACAGTATAAATGCTTTGACTCCAAGTTTGTACAAAGTAGGGATAGGTGGCATAATTTCTGTGACATAAATTTTGAGTCAAAAAATCGTAATAAAGGGCAATATCTGAATTTTGGTGAATTTTTCTCCTTAGGTATTTAGCATTTGAGAGGGTGTAATTATTTAATTATTTGTGCATTTTGTTCTCCAGTAGGCAGTGTTTTATGCAATCCTATGTTTGGGGATGCTCAAAAGGTAAGTATAATGCAAATATTCCAAAATAAAAAAAAAAATCTGAAATCTGAAACAATCTGGTCCCAAACATTTCAGGTAAAGAATATTTAACCTGTATAAATATTTAACTAAAATTATTGATATGAGTGAGTGATTCACATGCAGAACAGCAACAATAAAGCCATTGATCTAATATCAACCTGTCAGAAAAATAAAGGGCGTAAGGGAGATACAGTGTTATGGTTGAATGTCCAATCATGCCCTTATGGGGAAAAGCAGTGTTACACTTTCTCTGCAAATTGAATACATTATAGTTATGCATTATATAAGAAGTTTGAGAATGCCTACAGTTTATCTGAATTATAAATTTCATAATATGATACTAGCTTTACAGGTCTATAGGTATGTATTATTATGCAAATCAAAATGAGGATATTAACATATGTAAAAGTCCCAAAGTATAAATGGAGATTATCTTTAATTTATCAGCATGCTATTTTATGATGCCCTATTATTATATGTGAATACACATGTTGATATATTCTCTATAGAAACCTACAACGAATATATCCATATATGCATTATGATAAAGAACTAAAGGAATAGCAGTCTTATTAGAAGAAAAATACATATAATAATTAGAATTAAAATGCTAGCCTTTTAAATGACATTACTACTATGACATATGCAAATCAAGTAAACTGATCTGGAAAACTGGATACCAAAACTGTTTACATATGCTCATAATTATGATTTCATTTGACGCACATTTTGAAAAATGTCAGTAACATGAGGGTTATTGTGAACACAATAATCACCGCAATAAATAACTGATTTAGTTCTAATACTGGCTTATATAAATGTTTCAGTTTGGGGTAAGGGACTAGGATTACCAAGATTCCAAATGGAGAAATATTTCACATAATATGGATCAGTATTTACAAATATAATTTATATTATTCTGAATCTTCAGGCTATCTTTTCTATTAAAAACTGATGCCACACTGAATTTTAATATTGATTTCTACAAACTGGGTACCCCCTCACCCTCTGTACACTTCTGTTGTGACTTGTTCTACTTACAACCTAGCTGCTTTTTCCTATTGTGATATCTGTGGATAACTACTGTTGAGCTTATCCTGGTATATAATGAAAAACTGGTTATTCTGTTGCTATATGCAATTGACTTTTTCTGAGGCCTGATCAGTGAGAGAATTGTAAAACAGTAACTAACATCCGCTGTTTTTAGTCTGACCTAATTCTTATGCTAACAGAATCTAGGTGATAAAAATCGAATGTGGAATATTAAAAATGTTTATGTGGCTAAGGATTATCTCATATAAACAGATCATATAAAAATTCTGTTTATTTCTTAAGCAACAAAACATACTTCCTCCATGATAGGAGTAAGAGGTAAGTTGCTCTCACTCAGAAAATATAAGCCCTGTTTGTCCCATTTCACACTGTTGCTTTGCACAGTTAGTATCAATCATACCAAGCTCATAATGCTTCTCTAAACTTGTACAATGCTAATTTGAAAAGAACAATCCCTTGAAAACACTACCACCTAGAATCTAAGCTTTAGAAAACACTACGTAAAGGAATAGATATTTCACTTTACATTTTGCATTGTAATTCAAATACATGTGGTCTTACAGATATTATCTTAAGGGATTTTATGTCAGTTGTCCAGTTTAAAAAAAATATGTATTTTTCAAAGTAAAGACATTTGCTTTGGTTGTCCTGTTGGGTGAACGACAATCTTCCCGGGGATATTAGTTCCCTTTCTATATCCCTTCAGGCTGGGTGCTGTAAATGATGAAATATTTGAAGATTTGTACTTTGTTTTAGCAGTCTGCACAGCCTTGGGGTCCTTCAGGTTCTTTTCCCAGGGAAGTTTCCCACACAGCCACCGCAGCATGCAGTAGCCAAGGAT